GGGAGGGGGGAGGGGTTTAAAACATAAAAATTAGGTACTGCTATTTATGAGTCAGCCCAAAATGTTAGCAGTTGCAGTAGCAAAATATGCTTTATAACTGCTTTATAAAAAGATCACATACAATACAGAATTAACATAGTATGTGGTCTTCTTACCCAGACTAGGATATAAATAGTAATTGTACTAAATAGGTTAAATAGATGAATCTATTATAACATATGAAAAACTACTATAAATCAACAATTATAGCCTTCATACGTTAATGTTTATTCGGGTAAAATGTCAATGTATTTTTTTTAATACTCGATACCGAAAACAAATGTCTGTCTGTCTGTCTGTCTGTCTGGTACTTTACTAAATTTTCATTTTTCTTTGAATATAAGGATTTAGTTTTATAAGCATTTTTATGAGCTTTATTATAAACTACAAATTTGAAAAAATCACTATTTCTCAAAAAGTGGGAGGGGGAGGGGAGATGCAATATAGGCATCGTAATAGCGGGGTGTCCGTATTATCGTATTGAATGTAAATGCTGAACATTGCAATGCTATAAATAAATTATGATTTACACATGTCCTGGATATACGAGATTAAATTGACTTTTGACTCGCAAATGATCACGAGTCATCTTGGCAGATTTGAATATAGAATAAAAATACTATATTTATATATTGCGTAGGTACCAGGGTTGTCACTGCCAGTACAACAGTCATCTGATGCCCCGGCCAAGCAACCAAATAAAGGGGTTTCTCATGCCGCAGGATTTCTTCAATCAAAAAAGATTTTAAAGGGAGGTTAGTTCAAATATTTTCTTTTTTATATATTTTCCCCCCTAATTAATCGTTTTAACTTCATGCTTCAAGTACTGAATTTTGAAGCCCTTATTCAGAATTATAAAGATGCGAATATGTGTTAAAAGCTAGGAAAGTAATCCATCTTTTCTTGTTTCGGGGATTTTAAAACTTTGAAAAAAATATTGTTTTCTATGTGCAAGGAATTTTTGGAAACTTAACCTTAATCCAAGCACAATAATTTCTTTGAGGTATTTCGATTTGTTTAGTCATGTCAGCCAGTTACAAGTTGATTTGTGACTCGAAAAAGATTATATATGACAGTAATATGATGTTAAAGTAATTGAATGAAGATCTACACCCGTTAATTTCAAACAACTTTATTCGTACTCTTATTTTTGTGGACTACGCCTTTTCGTCTATCCTTCCCAAACTCTTACTTCAATGTTTTACAATTTATTTGCCGCCAATGATTTTGTTTTATACATTAATTCTAAAATTCCCAGTTTCTAACTGTTTTCAAAAAAAAAAAAAAATTCGTTTAATACGTTGAGATTTTTCTCGACCATTGGTATGACTTGAATAGGGCATACTCTTTCTACGATTTTCTTTCAGCAAAACCCTACTTATATTTTCATGAGCAATTCAATCTGTGAATTATCCGTGCTCTGAATTAGATAAGCCAACGCAAGAGGTCGTTTCAGAGTTCGATAAATTTGATATTTTCTTATTTTCTTATATTCTTCCTTTTATTTTTTACGTAAAGAAGGTCATTCCATTTCAATAATTTACACTAAACCATGGTTCATTTATAGTTTATGAAAATTATAGTAATGTACATGGCTTTTAATCATCAGTCGGTTTCATGAGGCAGCTTATGATCAGTTTTTCATTCATTCATCTAAATCTCCCCGCCGACCATCCTACTACATATTAACGTGAGCGCAACACCTCTAAAATCTCCCATCAGATTGATTTCACTTATCTTTTGAAATTGAAAATACAAAAACTTGTGTGAAAAACGGGGGAAAATTCCATTCTAGAGTTTTGTAAAAAATTACCAACGAGATCAAAATTACCTTATTTTCTCCAACCCGATGACTATTGAAGATAATTTTTTTTCCCAATTTATATATTTTAGAAATACATCAATTATTGATATATCATTCATTTTTTATTTTTTTAAATGTATTAAAGAATTGTTCAAACCGTGGGTTGGTTTTCTCTCTTCAATTCATATTTTTGTAATACTCAAAATAAGTTCGATCGTAGTTGAGCCCTGTTCATATCTTTAGGTTTTCTCGTATCATCATTGACATTAGCAATCAGTGCAGATTTTATTTGTGCCTGTTCATAAGTTATTCCGGTATTCCTGTTTGGCACATCATAGCTATGCTAATCTAATGTTGTTCTTATTGATTGTTTTTCAGCTAATAATTCCAACACAGCAGTAGCTCACGTCCTGTTGTCCTAATTAGACCCCAGGGGCGTGGCCCAATGATATGATCCTAAGCTACTGATATCTATTCATACATCCCCTGTGATATTTATCGCCAACAGCCAAATCAATCACGCGAAACACTGCATCTTTCTGCACTCGTACTACAAATTAATTTGTAAGGTAAGTTGATTTTGTTTTATGGAATAATAGAAAAAAAGAGTTCAGTACAATGTGTTTGATTTTAAGCCTGATTAATAATATTTTTATAAATGAAATATTGCATTTCCAAGAAACCAGAACCGTCAAGTCCTACAGCACATGTTTAGTTTCATTACTTTAGGTAATAGATTCATGATTTAAAAATTTAGAAACCTCATTTATTTTTTGCCAAACATCTTGGGGGTGCTTTTGAAACCTTCGAAAGAGCAGCAGTAAGGGGGACTCGCGAAATCCGAGTCACTAAGCATTGAATTTCACGGGTATTATCTGCGTTTCAGGCCCCTCTAAATGTATGCGTCCGCATCGGGTATTACCGACGTTGCGCGATGTGTCCCTTACTGCTGCTGTGCGACGAAGATATTTGTTTTATATTTGTTTTATATACGATGCATGAATGTAAAGAGTTTGCTTATGACTTCTGTGTAAAGTGTTTGAAACCTAAGTTTGTTACCCCGCCACCAAGGAAGTTAGTTTGTTGTGATAAGAAGATGCAAATAGAAGAAGATACGTCAGCACAGTGTTACGAGTGTGGTAAGAATATTCG